TTCAAGTAAAACATGAGGTTGACGGAAACTCGGGGACTGTGCTTACCTGATGAGCCCCAAGAAGAGCGAAACCAGTCGTGGGCTGTCGAAGAGTTTTCAGCCGCTATTTAATTTGGCCCCTACAGTGATGGTCATGAGACCTTTTCTAGCGCCACCTTAGGCTGACAATCCGGAATATTTAGGGTCCGCCTAGTAGTTGAGCGCTGTACTTTTCTCCTCAGGTAGACCTGGAGGCTACTTCACTAATAATTTAAATCAGAGTGCATCCCCATGGTTGACCGCAGTTATCTACAGTGTAAATTGATTCAGCCCGACATGGGATAACGGTGACATTCAAAGTACCATTAGAGAAAGCAATCTCTAAGCCCAAAAGGGAACAGGAAGCAATGAAGACCGGTGTCATGCACAAACTTCAATGCAGCCGCTGCGGGAATCAGTGTGTGGGACTAACTTGGAGGAGCATATGTACCAGAATGCATGACCGCCAACCTGAAAACAGGAGCTGTGATCAGTTTTCGCTGGTTTCTGCGCATGATGATTGAGAAGAGCATCATTTCAATTAAAACAGTTTTCAGACGTTGGCTCAAGCCTAAAAGTTGGAACGCGAGTTAATGGAGGCGCTGTAGTACACTAAGAAGACTGTTAACAAACGTAGTGCTGTTGGTCCAGCTTATCAGCTAATACAGCCATAAGAACTAGACGCGAAACCGCACAACAAGCCAATTAGGAGAATAATGAGTGTACGAATCACGTTGGTTGGAGTGGCCAACCAACTCAAAAAGTTTCCGAACCACAGCGCGCCATGAGTATCGGATGAGTCGTTAAAAAACAAGAAGTAATAACTACAGAAAAGGATGGCATTCAACATACTAATCAAATTAGAGGAATCCTAATCACAACGTCACAGAAATTCGGAACTGATCAATAGGTAAGCAGAAGCTCTCTAATCACAACGTCACGGAACTGATCAATAGGTAAGCAGAAGCTCTGAATTGTCGTCAGCCAGTTACGTTAAAGTCCTAGGCTGCTCTCGGTTAAACTATAAATACAGACTCGAGAGAGGGAAGAACGCACTCAACAACTCGTTGACTTTGTCTCCTTGAATGGTGGCGGAATTTTCGCAAATCACTTATCACGCTTGGTTAACAACCCAACAACTAGTGAGGCTCCCCGAAATTCTAACGTTTCGCAACACTGCCGACTGAAAGTTGTTTGTTCCGTAACGGCAAACGATTTTCAGCTGCATCATATGGCCCATAGAATGGTATACATAGATTATCCAGTCGTTGAGGAAGCCAGTTGATATTATTGTGTTGCCACCGAATGGAAGTTCCCTGCGTACTCTTTGTTTCGCTGAGTTGACTAAATTAGGTCAGTAGTACAGTGGTTTCATGAACTATTTTTTCACAATGAGCTTAATGAAGTCCAGACAACACCGTCATATTTGCACTGAACTTCGGGTGAGAGCCTTTCAGAGCGATGATTCACATAATTTTATTCGAAATCGGGCAACTTCGGTCGACTAAACAATATTGCATGAAAGTATAGCCCTTTTAGGACGATCAGCGCCACCCGATATGGTGCGTTCTATCAAAAGATATATACTGCCATACCTCGACAATCGTACCAACTGGCTTATGTGGCAGTCTTTATGCAACACATTCAGTTGAGTAATATTCTAAAGAAGAGACTCATTAGCAAAGTACACTCATTTGCAAATTAATTTGGTTTTTCGAGAGACTCACCCGGAACCCAGCTGAGCCTTTCGTTTTCGATGTCTCCAGGCAACTGAATGTGCTGCACCAGGCAGCCTCATGTTTCAGTCGCTACGATATTCGGGATATCGCGGTACATGTATATTTGTAATGCACTACTCATAAGGTTGCTGAAATTTCGTCGACAGCCCACGACCGGTTTCGCACTTCTTGGGGTCATCAGGTGGGCGCAGTCCCCAAGTTTCCGTCAACCTTATATTCTACTTGAAACCGAATTGCA